AAGGAGGAGAGACATATAAGGGAGGAGAAGAAAGAAGAAGAAGAAGAAACAAAATGAGCAGGCCGTATTGGTATGGGAATATATAAAGCCTTTTATCTATGTAGAATTTGTCGGTATTGTTTTTATTGAGGTAGCACACATAAGTAAGATAAAAGTTTTAGCAGGAACTAAAAAAACTAAAATTTTGTGATCCTCTTTTTTGGTCACCGACAAGATTTTTGTTGAAAAGTTAAAAACCAAATATTTTGAGGTTCTCAGCATCATTTATCGACAAATGCATGCTGGTAAGTTTTTTTTTTTTTTTTTAACAGTACTTGAATATGCATTTAATTGCAAGCCTCAAACTAGAAACCCTCAAAAGTCTTCGAAAAAAATCGTCCTAAAAAACACAGTTCTCCAAAATCTCCTTTTTGTTCCCAATGGCTATGGCCGTCCGGTGATGATCGGTGAAGATGATGAGATCCGACAAATGATTGGCAAAGATGGTGATGAGATCGAAGTCGGGGGACTGGAGAGAGGCTGACGGTTGGAGAAAAAAGATCCTTATTTTTGTGTGGCAAAGAAGATTCTTATTTTTTGTGTGGCTACTTGCTCTGGCTTTGTCCGAATTTCCTCCGCTGGTTTTTTTAAGGGTTTGCAAAAGCGGCTTCGGATCCCATCTTTGAAGAATTAATGGACTGTGGTCATTGGTCATGGGATATGTTTGGTGGGCTGCCAGAGTGATATCATCGACAATATTTTTGTTGCAGAATCTTATAAGATTCGTGGGTCCTTAAAATCTCTGCTCAGTGCACTCAAAGGGCTGCCGGAGATGACGAAGTGGATATTCAAGACTAATACCAACAAAAAATACGTGTGTTGGGTGAATTTACGGATGAAACACTCCTCTGAAATTTAAATAATATAAATTAATTTTTATGTTATTGTTTTTAACTGTACAAACATGTTCTTTTGTCGGCAAGCATTCATTTAAACAACAAATCTTTTCACACTTAAGATTCGGTGTCGTGACATCAAATCACATTTAATGTTTTTTTTTTTGGGGGCAACGATTTAAATTAAATTCATTGTAAAATTGTTAAAAAAAAAAACAACAAATCTTTTTACGTCAGTGATATTAGATCGGTGATATTAGGTTTTCTAGTAATTTTGTTTAAAAGAATTTGTATTTATTATTAAAAAATAAAAAATATGTAAAATTCTACAATTAAGAAATTAAAATTAATATTTAACTTTTTATATTAATTGATTAAAATTTGATTTTCAAGAGAGGTCACAAAGAAGTTATTTACCATAGATTTTCTAATTGTGATGTTCGATTTTTAATTTAGCTTGTTTTGTTTGATATTTAATTTGAAATGGTACTAAAATTATTATAAATAAATATTTAAGATAGTTTAAAATGTTAGTATTGTAGGCTTGATAATGGTATATTGTAGGCTTGACAATAGTAAATAGACAAATTATGTCTTAATTATGGAAAAATAAATTCAATTTTTAAATTCAAAACTTTCCATGGGATACAACTATAAATCAAATGAATATATTTGTTTAGTTTGGATGAATAAATATAATTATTCATGAGGAAAAGTCATATCTGTTGAAACACCATAATTTTTGGTTAAATGACATTCCCTTTAATCATGTGGCTTTTCAATCTATATACATACACGCAAGCCTAAATCAAATAAGAATTGAAAATTTTGATTCTTTTCATAATTTCTCTAAAGAATTTAATTTTTTTAAGTTATATTGTATTTTAAAGGCATTTTTATATTCCAAGAATGGTAATTCCATTCACACCTCAAAGCATCTAATCTTTCTTTCCTTCGTTATTCGATTCTATATTTTCCTTACAAAAAATAATATATTAATTACATCCACATTGTTTGCCTTCTTTTTTTTTAATGGGAGGCTAACTAGTTAAAGAGGTAAAGCTAATTCTACCCGCCAATCATAAGAAAAAGTTCAATGATTTAAATATAAAAAGAATTCCTTACTATCAATTAATTTTAAGTTAGTTAAAGTCATATATTTGGGTTTACTTATCGAATGTCCAATTTTCACGCTCCTTGATGACAAGATGCAGAAAAGATCAACATTTTAAGGGAATTCATGCGCGTGGTATCTTTTTGGTCAGAAACAACATAATTTTTGCCGTCCATGAAAGAAGAGAAAGTTCCACACCCCTGGGCCAAGTGCTTTAATTACTTTAATTACTCATGCTAGACAATTTTAATCAAGTTTTGATACGACTCCTTTGGCTTCTGCTTCCCCTCGGTCCAAAAACACAGTCAAAAAGCATAGATTTTGGATGAAAAGAAATGTTCCCCACAAGTTTCCATTGCATTGAAACATGATATGGTTGGACAATAACATGCATAAAAGCGATTTGACAAAAGGCAACATGTGTCCCTTTCATATTTGCTGGGGGGTTACATCTGAGGATGACAGATGACTACAAAGAAGCGTTACCCCTTTTTTTTTATTTTTTTATTTTTCGTTATTCTACTTAAAATTTAAATTTAAAATTTTTAATTTAAAATTTTAAAATATTAACAAGTTGAATTATCCTCTTAAAAACTTAATTAGTGTGGTTATTTACGTATGTGGATCTAAGTATAATAATCAACATTTTGCTAATAATTCCGTTGACTCTAATTGAGTGAAGGTGTATTAATAACAATTTAACTTATAAAATCTTGATTTGAAGATTTAAAACTTTAAATTTAATGCTCTTATTGTTTATTTTTAGTTATTTTAATTTAACTTTTTAATTTTTTAAATATAAATTTTAAATAAAAATTAACATATTATATAAAATATAATTAAAATTTTTTTAATCAAATGAATATACTCAACAAAAACTTTATGTAAAAAGAAAAAAACTTCTGAATTATTTTTTTATATAAGTTACAATTTTTTATTTAAAATTTATATAAAAAATAAAAAAATTAAAATAAATTTACTAAAAATAAATCAAAAGAGTAGAATGCAAGAGCGTGTGCGCATCACTTCCTTTTGTTTTAAAATAAATTATGTTTTATAAAAATAAAATAAAATAGTTCCAAATTAGTATTTGATGTTTTAGAAAGGAGAAATGATTTTAAAATAATCTTTTTATATTATTTATTTGTATAATTTGATATGTCATTTAAATAATTAGTTATCTTAATTCATGTCAAGTAATTACAGTGTTCATCTCCACATAACCTTAAAAGATGGAGAATGGTTATGCACCAATAAAAATACCATGGTTACTATAATTGTAAAATATTATTTTCAAATATACTAATTTTATTTAATTTAATTAATATAAATAGAAGATAATTATAATTATTATTTTTTTTTGAACAGTTTTGTCATTGAGCGGGTTTGAAACCCGCCCAGGGGAGGGGATGTGCACTTTTTAGTGGCTCTAGTCACTGGCCACACGGGCCAAGTGCAAGATAATTATAATTATTAATTGTTAATTAATAAAAAATTTAATAATTATTAATTAATAACTTAAAATTAACTAATTAATTAATTTTAAATATGTTTAGAAAAATTAAAATATTGGTGTGTTTATGACTGTGGCAATAAACTCCCCAAAAAAATGACGTTTTTTCAAAGTACGGTGCCTTTTTTTTCTTGCATAAGAAGCAGAGCAGCAGGGGTAAATTCCATAACAGAAAAAGACTCCTCTTACTATATCATTCTCCAATATCAGCCTCCCGATATCGACGTCTTATCTCCACCGGAGATGAAGAGCACTCTGGAAGAGCTGCATGAACCCATCTTGAACTCAGTGCAGCCACTACCGACAGAACCAGAAGCCATTGCCAACCATCATGAAACGGACTCCCAGCTCGAGAAAGTGCTATCTGACACCAAGTTGCCATACTTCAAGCGCCTCCGGTTAGCCTCATGGATTGAACTTAAGCTACTCTTCCGCCTGGCTGCGCCGGCGGTGCTTGTTTACTTGATCAACTACTCCATGTCGTTGTCCACCCGTGTCTTCTGCGGCCACCTCGGCAATCTCGAGCTCGCCGCCGCCTCCCTTGGCAACAGCGGCGTCCAACTCCTTGCTTACGGCCTCATGGTACACTACGTAGTATCAAAATCAAAAGTAATACTAAACTAAACAGATTCTGAGTCCTTTTTTTTTTTTTTTTCCCTTCCTTCTTTTTTGCAGCTAGGGATGGGAAGTGCGGTGGAGACTTTCTGCGGCCAAGCATATGGGGCCCATAGATACGAAATGCTCGGAATATATCTCCAAAGAGCAACGATTGTCCTCACCCTCACCGGAATTCCGATGACGGTGATCTACGTCTTGTCCAAGCCGATCCTGCTTTTACTAGGAGAATCCACCGAGGTTGCTTCTGCTGCGGCCGTTTTCGTATACGGTCTGATCCCACAGATCTTCGCCTACGCCGTGAACTTCCCCATCCAGAAGTTCCTCCAGGCACAGGGCATTGTGACTCCGAGCGCCTACATATCGGCGGCGACGCTGGTGGCGCACCTGCTGTTGAGCTGGGTGGCAGTGTACGAACTTGGCCTGGGCTTGATCGGGGCGTCGCTGGTGCTGAGCCTGTCGTGGTGGATAATTGTTGGGGCACAGATAGTTTATATCTTGATGAGCGAAAAGTGCAAGCAGACGTGGGCTGGGCTCAGCCTTCAGGCTTTTTCTGGGCTATGGGACTTCTTCCGGTTATCGGTGGCGTCCGCTGTGATGCTCTGCCTGGAAACATGGTATTTCCAGATACTTGTCCTGATCGCCGGTTTGCTCGAAAACCCTGAAATTGCATTGGACTCACTTTCCATTTGGTAAGGAAGCCTTAATTATTTTTGGTTAAATGCTAAATTTGGTCCCTCAACTTTAGTGAGTTACACATTTTTGGTCCCTCAACAATTTTTTGCACTTTTTTGATCCCTCAATTTTAAGAAATGCACAACATTTGTCCTTCTGTCAATTTAGGCCGTTAACTCAGCTACGTGGCATTTTTTTTTTTGATGACATGGCGAGGACAACTTAAAAAAGTGTTAATCTGGACTTTTTTTTTTTATGACATGTCATCTTCCCACACCAAAGCCCCTTTAATGAGTCTCACGTTGCTTGCAAACCACCAATAAAAATTTGTGAACCCTAAAATGGTCTCTCAACTTCACTCCTTGCAAAATCAATCTAACTTGAGTTGGGTTGCCTCTATTGTTAGTGGGGTGAATCCTTACAAAATAATATGTCTATGAACCCTAGAATGCTCCAAAGGAGAATTTGGAATTCTTTGTCATTGAACCCAGCTACTGGGTTTCATTGAAGGGTTTCATTGAAGCCTCAAACCTAGCAGATCTTATCAAATCAAGTTAACCCTTCAATAAACAATATCAATCAAACTCTAATCAAATTCCAACAAAAATACAATCAAACTTTAATCGAATTCTAACAAAAATGCAATCAAATTGTAAATCAACTCCCAAATTTATTAACAACTGAGAATGGAAATCACGTCGAAACAGCAAGGCTGGTTTGCGCGACTAGCAAGGCTAGGTTTCGACAAAATCAGCAAGGCTGGTTCGCACAACCAGCAAGGCTGGTTCGCACAACCAGCAAGGCTTGGTTCACCAGAACCCAACAAGGTTGGGTTTCGTCTACTGGGTTTCGACAAACCCAACTTTCCACCGACCCAAGGTAGGAAAGAAAGAAACAGAAAGAAAGAAAGGGAAGAAAAGGGATTGGGAGGGTGAGGGTAATAAGGTAATTGTATTTGTTTTTAATTAAATTTTAATTTTTATTTTTTTTTGCTTTTTTTTTTTTTTTTTTATTTTATTTTTATTTTTTTTTTTTCCCCCTTCTTCAAAAAAATTTAAAAATTATTGCCCCTTGAATTTTTTTACTTCCCCCTTCTTTTTTACTTACGAAAGGGTCCAAACTGTTGCATTTTTTGGGTTCAGGGGTTCAAAAAGTGCAAAAAATTGTTAAAGGACCAAAAATGTGCATTTTGTAAAGTTTAGGGACTAAATTTAGCATTTAACCATTATTTTTTACTTCTACTGGAGTTTTTAAAATACCGGTAAAACCCCCTCTTAAGGCCTCATGCTTTCTCCAAATTAACAAAAGAGCCCCTAAACTAAACAGTGTAAGTCTTTAAAGTTTGAACCTCTTAAATGATGCAAACTAGCTCTCAAGGGGGTTTTGCCTTAAATACTAATAAGTAATTTTTATAAGTTTTTTATTTTGTAATTTGGATTGTAAAATATAAGCTAATAAATAAGAGAACAGTCTATTATTCAAAGGTTTTCTCTCATTTTATAATTTAAGTTATATAATTTGAACTATCCAATACCTTCTTAAAATTTTTACATTAAACGCAAATATAAGGAGAAAAATGTATTTATTAGCCGTGATTGAAAACAATTGTAGGTAGCCTTAATAAAATGCTTAGAGCATCTATAATGGAAGTTCTTTTCCATTGTTCTTTCTCAAAAGAGAACAGAGATAGAGCTTTGCCCGAGCATTTCTCACAACCCAACTTTGTTCTTTACACTGAGATAGCTTGGTTAAACCTTTTTGGGGGCCGAAGCAATGTCATTTTGGCCCCCCTTTAGCCGCAACATTTGACAAGGCTTGACATGCGTGTTAGGCCCGTGACAGTTATGTTTGCGCATGCATGCCATTTTCTTACACCCATTGGCATTTTGAATCCAACAGCTGATATATATATATATATATATATATATATAAAATTAAAAATTTTTATTTAAATATATAAAATGTGGATATAATAAAAATAATAATTGTGTATTTTTTTTAGAAAGTTTCGTTGAGAAATATGTACTGGACAGAAAATGTTCTGTTACGTATTATATTTAAGGGTTTAAATAAATATATAAAAGGTGAGTATATATAAAAATAATATTAATTATGATAATGTGGCACTAAAATGAACTCTGTGATTGTTTCCATGGTACATGCTCTTAGGAAATCTTATGATTTATGGTGCTTTTGAAATGTGCAGTATGGCTATAACTGGGTTGCTGTTCATGGTTTCAGTAGGGTTTAATGCAGCTGCAAGGTTTGTCCTTCATCTTCACTTTTGGCTTGGACCTCTTAACTCCTCTTTTATCCCATTCAGGTCATTATACTAATATATATGTGAGACTAATGGAGTAATTTGAAGTTATAACAGTGTCAGGGTAAGCAATGAGTTAGGTGCCGGGCACCCCAAGTCGGCAGCATTCTCCGTCTTCATTGTGAACCTGATATCTTTCATCATCGCCGTAGTGGAAGCTGCTATCGTGTTAGCTCTGCGCCACGTCATCAGCTACGCCTTCACCAGTGGCGAGACCGTCGCCGAGGCCGTATCCGATTTGTGCCCACTACTCGCTATCACTCTTGTTCTCAATGGAATTCAGCCTGTCCTGTCTGGTATGTATATATGAATCACATGCATGGATCAAGATGTGACTAATATATATACGTACGTATGTTTCTCTGCTATGTGTAATTAATTGTGAAGCATGCAATTTGGTGGCACTGGTAGGGGTGGCTGTTGGATGTGGATGGCAAGCCTTTGTGGCATATGTAAATGTAGGATGTTATTATGCTGTTGGGATTCCTTTGGGATGTCTTCTTGGTTTCAAATTTGATCTTGGTGCAAAGGTTTGTATAAAATATAAAACCCTCATGCAGAATTAATCACTTTTCCTGAGAAAATAAAGATGTAAAGAAAGGTTTTGCTCATAAAGGATTGACATGTTTTGAGCAGGGAATATGGTCAGGGATGATAGGAGGAACGATGATGCAGACCATCATTTTACTCTGGGTTACATTTCGAACAGACTGGAACAAAGAGGTAAATCATGAATCATATGATGAGTTAAGAGCAGTATTAATTCATGTATTTAGATTGATGGAGGCTTGATTTTCAGGTGGAGGTATCAAGGAAGAGGTTGGATAAATGGGAGGACAAGGAGCCACTTAATAAAAACTAATAGTAACTTGCAAGCAGCAATTTTTTTTTTTACAAGGAAGTTAGTATAAATTAGTTGTTAGTAATTGGAGATTCGATCCCCAAACTGGGTGAACATTCCACTCCTTCAAATGAGGCGCGCACGACCATCAGACCGCTTTTTGGTGGAGTTCACAACGGTAGTAGAGTTCAAAGCTTTGACCACTATCTCACCCAAGCACTTAAGACTTGTGGTCGAATCATTGGGTCTAAAAACCCGGTTCTTGTAAGCAGCATTTTAATGCAGAAATGAGTGTGAAAATTTGACAAAGACCCATGATTGAAGCATATCGAATTGGAAAATGGTGGTACCTTTTTTTTTTTTTAATCGTCAGGAAATGATAGTACCTAATTATCATTTCTAATCAAATAATGTCTCAATGATACTTCTCATTTATTTTTTGGATATGTTTTTTTAAAACTAAAAATTCTGTCACACATTCAATTTGTGATCTTTTTGTTTCGTCATTGATAATAACAGTTGTAACAAATTTTTCTGTCACAAATAATCCTAATTGTGACTAACATGGTAGTATTTGTTTCATTTTTTTCAGTCACGAATAATTCTAGTTGTGATTAAAAGGAAACGTCACAAATGATTTAGTATTAGTAACCAAATTTTATGTCACAAACAATTTGTTTTGTAACAAGTTATACAGGTTACAAATGAGACTTTTTTTGTATTTAATTATTTTGTCGCAAATAGTCATCATTGTGATGCTAAAATTTGTTACAAATACGATAGTCATTATGTCTATCTTTACCGTAACTAAAATCATGATTTGTTGTCACGATTCTAAAATTAGTTATTATTAATTTTAGTGACTCAATATTTATAACGAACAGTGACTAATCAAATTTTAAATACAAATATAATTTGTGACTAAAAAATTTAATTTTTGTGACTAATTTTTCCATCACAGATAACCCGTTTCGTTGTAGTGTCTGTTAGTGATCATTTTTTTCTTTCAAAAAAGTTGGAGGTATTCACTATTGAAAAGGAACCATGAATGAAGCATTGAAGATAACTGTTGATGACAACCAGATATCTACTCTCTTTTTTTTTTTTTTG